GCTTTTTATGTGTTTCATCAAGCTTTCTCATATACTTCTATGCACTTTTAGCTTAAACCAATTAGTCTTAACCTGTTTATTTGGAAAAATAGAAGGATTATTTTCTATTTATTTGGTATACTAGAAGTATATTTATAAGTCTACATTAACATACATGTGTTACCTTTTTCCCCTATCAAATTACACATCTTTGTTGTATTCTTGTAATTACTTTTTCTTTTTATTTGTAATAAGTCCACTTTTGATTTTTCAAAAGTCATAATATTATGTAAAAAGTTATTTATTATTTGCAATAAAGAACATATTTAATTTTTCAAGAGTAGTAGTGTATGACTTAATTGTGATTGACTTTTAACATAAGCTTAAGGACTTATTTTATTAATTATAAACGAAAATATTTAAATTAAATGATGAATGAATATTTTATTATTTATAAGTTCTAAAATTTATATATTTTATAAACCAAATTTTGTCTTCATTTATTACTTCTTAAATATAAAATATGTAATGTAAGGACTTGAAAAATAGTGTTATAGAGCAGATATGTGTCTTAAAATAATGAGACATATTATTTTACTTTAAAATAATCTTATAATATAAATATAATTTTATAAACACTTTTCATTATTCTAAGAACACTTCATCTCTCTAGAACTCTATTCCTTAGAGTTCTCTGACTTCTCTCTACAATCTCTCTCTCTGCTGAGTTATCTGTTCGACAATCAAGAGGTGCCTAGGCGATCCTGGCGTTGAGAGCTTCATTTTGGACCGATCAATTTAGTGTTCTTCAGCTGGTAATTGGTTTCCATTGTTGTTCGTTCTTCACTGGACTATGAGCATGCAGCGTTTCTGTATTGCATGTGGTTAACAGTTCTTCCTTCCATTTTCTAGCTCAATTTAGGTTCTAAGTGTTGTTCTCTATCACCAATTGGTGAGTTGTAGGTTTCTGTTGAGTTCCCTTGCAGTGCAAGGTACGGTTGGTGTATCTGTGAGCTTAATTGTCTGTCTCTGAGGTAAGGGGAGCTAGAAACTTTATTTCAATTGGTTATATGATATGTGTGTATGATAAATTCTGAATTAGTATGTTGTTTTGTGTCACTCGTTTTTTAATGAGTAAATTAAATAGTATGTACTAGAATATGGAATGTATGAAACTGTAATGTGTTGTTGATGAACTGTTTTGGATGAATCTAAGTGTTGTAATTGTGCAAGTTGGAGGTAGTTAATGTGANCTGTGAGCTTAATTGCCTGTCTCTGAGGTAAGGGGAGCTAGAAACTTTATTTCAATTGGTTATATGATATGTGTGTATGATAAATTCTGAATTAGTATGCTGTTTTGTGTCACTCGTTATATAATGAGTAAATTAAATAGTATGTACTAGAATATGGAATGTATGAAACTGTAATGTGTTGTTGATGAACTGTTTTGGATGAATCTAAGTGTTGTAATTGTGCAAGTTGGAGGTAGTTAATGTGAGTAATCTATTGTGGTAGTGATGAGGTACGAAGTGAAGTGGTTTGAGCTTGTTTAGAGTCAATTTAGAGTAAGTGAGGTAGTGAATTTGAGTATTTGAGGTCAAGTGTTGTTAGAGGCTACTGGGGTAGTTTAGACAGGTCATTTGTGACTTGTTTGAGTCATCAAACTGGTTAAAATCAGGTTCAAAGTGGTAAATTAGGATTTGGGTCTCTAAGTTGATGAAATTGAGGTTTTAGAGTAGGATTTGATGCATAAATACTTTATATTGAGGTTAGGAAGGTCTAGAATCATTTAGTCAAGTCTAATTAAGCATATACAATGAATTAGGAGTGTTAAAAGCTGGGAAAGTTGAGTGAAATTGGTAAGGAGTGGTTGAGTTGCATAATTCTGCAGAATTCCGTTTTTGCAGATTATGCAGACTCGCTGTGCGAATGGATTCGCATAGCGAGTCACCTTGGCGAGGTGCTCTCTACCAAGGCACTCGCATAGCGATGGGTGCGCTGTGCGAGTGGATTAAGAGGGTTGCTCTCTTTTTGTCAATCTGCATAGCGAATCAAATTGCTATGCGACTGGTTGGGGTCTGGAACCATTATTCATTTTATTCGAACAACGAGTGGGTCTCACTCTGCGAGTGTTTAGGAAGTCTGAGTCTCTGTCTGAGGTTCTCGCATAGCGAGTTAGGACGCTATGCGAGGGGTTGGGGTCTGATACATTTCACAGTTTATTCGTATAACGAGTTTAGTCGCTATGCGAGTGGTTAAGAGTAGTTGGTCTCTGTCTAAGGTTTTCACAAGGCGAGTTAGGTCGCTGTGCGAGAAGCTTATGGCTTCGCTATGCGAAGGTGTGCGCTGTGCGAGGGGTTCAGTCCTAGTTCAATTTCTCTTGTAATCTTAAGTTGTTTTAAATGAAACATTGAGTGTTGTATGAAGTAAGTTGAAGTTGTATCATGTAATATCCGTGGTTATTGATGTATGTTGTATTTCAAAGTGTAAAGTTCAAGTATGGTTAATGGACGTAAATCCATGATCCTCAAGGAGAGGAGACATGGTGGTGCCCTATGTTGTGATTCAAAGTGAAATCTTTAGTTGATATTCAAGTAAGTTTAGAATGGATGCGGGAGCTTAGTTTTGGGGGTTATCCTGAAACTCCAATGGTCTTTCATTCTCAAGTAGAGAGGATTGATCCATGTCGTGAGGAGTAGCAAGAGGTCTTAGGCTTGGATGCTTCCAGTATGGCTCAAGGCGAGTGATAATAGACTAACTTCGTGAGTGTGGTAGGGTGAAACCCATTGGCAACAGCTTTGCAAAGCAGTAGAAGCCACCACGAGTGCACGACCCGTCATAGCTCGACAATCATTCTAAGTCCGGACAGTCAAAGTCAGTGTGGGTTATGTGTGAAGAGTTTAAGTGATGTGAATGAATAATATGCTTGTATGAAGTTAAATAAATTGATGTATGATTAATCTTTGTTTAAACTAGCTTACCCTGTTGTGTGCTTGTATTTTGTATGTTCTGTTGTTCTTCTTCTGCAATGACCATCTTTTGGATGTGAGCAGCAGAAGAAGAGGTCTCTTTGGAGCAAGCATTGGATGAAGGTGATGCTGCTGAGTAGTTGGCATAGTTAGTAGGGATCTTGTGTATAGTTTGAGTCTCCTTTATTTTGTGTGTGTGTGTATATATATATATATATATATATATATAGTTTAAATTTATAGTTGTTTTTGGATGACTGAAAGGTAACACTTTATACTCTAGATGGATAAATGTATTACTTTATCATGCATGTAGCTTCTCTTTAATATAGTCTATACTATATATTTTGAGATGTTATATGTAACTTTTCGTTCGAGTTTTGAACTAATTTTTATCATTTTTTTCAATCAAAGTACACAAATAAGAAGACAACGAAGAATAAACAATATGATTTCATCATATTAATTTTTGGCAAGATTTTTCCTCTGATATTCTTAATTTTCACATTTTTCTTACGGATGAATTTTTTAGCTTACATATAACAATAGTGTTGAATAATAAATTAATCTTCATTATTTTAGATTAATAGGGATTTTTTTGGTTTATTAATCAGATTATGTGAAAGCATGTCATGGCTAGTTTTTTAAGTCTTTGAAGTCATTTCCATGAAGAATACCCAAAATAAGGCAATAGAAGCTAACTAGATTTATTATGAAAAAGAATTGATAATATTGATAATTAATTGAATTTTATTGTTTAATTGAGATTTGAATTATTGAATTTTGATGATGAAATGAGATTATTGGTTGAGACTATGTGATTATGAGATTAAATTGTATATAGATGTATATGTATATAAGTGATAATTATATTTGATTTACATATCCTTAATTCAATGAAATATTAATTTACATTGAGTTCTTGATGATAATTTAACCTTTGAAATCTGAAGTTAGTGCTTTGAATGTTATGTTATCTGAAGTTAGTACTTTGAATGTTATGTTATTTTTCAGGTGACTTGTTTGAATTTAAAACGAAGTAAACAAGTGTGTTATATATCAGGTGACTATATAAACGTTATTTTATTTATTAGGTGACTATTAAAGTAATAAATAATGTAGAATACGTATGTGATAATTAAAATATTGTATTTTCAATTAACAGTTACATTCGTAATTTATAATTTTTAATTAGCAAATAATTAAAATGTTGATTTTTTTAAAAGTGATATACTTGTTAGTTGTATAATAAAGAAAATAAAATTGATAAATTGTGTTCAATATAAAAGAAAAAGGGTTTATAAGTTATGCCATGTGATAAGAAGAGAGAAATAAAAAGAAAAAAAATGACAATAGATATAGACAAAATCTTACAGTCCATTAATAATTTTCTCAAAGCAAAAATGTATTATTTGTATTTTATATGATAATTCATAAGGTTTATTTTATATTTTGACGAGAATGTATAAGGTTAATTTGAATATATAAATAATAGGAGGGTGAATATTAATCGTGCATGTGAAGTGATGATAGAGTAACCATGAGAGAATACATAGTTTGACCTTTAACTGATATGGTGACGTAGCAGATTGAGACAGACAGACAAAAGCACAGTGGGTTTTAAGATATATGCTATTTATGATGCACACAGATCTTACCTCAGAATATTTTCTTAACAAGGAAAAGTGGACACTCATTGAAAAGCAAGTGTTTGCAGTTATTTTCATGTTACGAGGATGACTTCAAGTTTACTGAATAATAATGGTTACTGCTTATAGATTGTAGAAAGAGCGAAAAAGAAAGGAGGGAGAGAAGTCGTGGACATTTTTCTGATATCCATAAAGGTCTGCAACTTTTCAGATATGCTTTTCAGATCACCACCACTACCTTCGTTTATCTCATCATCTCTCATTTAATTCTTAGATAACCAAACTTTGCCAAGTTTGGAAATAACAGTATATATATATATATATATATAAACTTTCAACAACATAATTTACTACAACTATAAATAAAACATCATTAAGAATAATTATAGCATTACATTTAAATTAATTATAGCTAATAAAATGCTAGAAATTAACAACTTGCAACACATGCATGGATCGTATCCAATATTAGGCATAGTAGTAAGTATACTCTGGTGATCATTGGAGCCATATATAATAGTGCATGCTTATTGTTGAAATCAAGGTCTTAATTTGCATGTGCAGTCCTCTTTTAAGATAAAGATCGATATGGTTTGAGCATTTTAGTGAGTGAACCACTGAGATGGAGGGACATGACCTCATTGGTGGAGCCCACAAGCGTCCCTCCGATGAAGACCGCCGGAACAGGTGGCGAACAACCCAACCTAGTTAAAGCTTTCTCCATTTCCTTGGCTTCAGGGTCTTTGTCAATTTCATGGACCACAGGGTCCACTCCAAGTTCTTTGAACAGAATGTTGACTGCATAGCAGAGGCAACAAGAGCTCTTGGTGAAAACCACCACACCCCTTTCTGCAGACAACCTGATAACCTTTTCCATCGAGAGAGAAAAGGTAGAACAGGAAAAGAAAGGCAAAAATTTTGAGAGTGTAGAGAGAGATTGGAAATCTTAGAAGTAGAAAAGCTTGAGATGAAATCCGAAATGAATTGGGTCGGGTTGATTGAAATAAGGTGGTATGGTAGAGTATTTATAGGAAGAGATAGGTTAAGAGGGTGTGGTATATATGTTTGAAGAAAGCACTTTGAAAAGAAAGATGCCCAATTACATATGTAAAAGCGACTGTCGTGTAACTTTAGACTGAACAAGTTGAAAGACATCATTTACATGCATATGCCTGCTCAATTAGTAGACAGGCTATGACACCATAACCATATAATGTGAAGACTTTGTGACCCAGCAAAGGCAGTTGCATATAATATCTTCCTGCGATTAAGGGAAATTCCTTCTGTCAGCCGTGTTCCACCATCAACCATTAGTGCCCTTTTCTCACTATATGGTGTAATATTCTTCTCTGAATATGCCTATAGATTTGTAAATCTTTCGAAATTTCACTCTTCACCCAATCTTATTTATTACTACATTCACCCAACTTACAACCTAATAATATATACCACTGATTCTCTCGTCAAATAATTAATTAATAACACCTTTACAATATATATAATATATACAATTTATTCCAAGTATTTCAATTTTTTTTAAATATAAATATTTAATTATCTAGAAAGAACTACAAAACACCAATACATAAAAATATATACATTTTATTTCAACATTTCAAAACCCTTCTAACCTCATTGTTGCTCGTTTTCAATATCTTCATAATTAGTTAGTTGTTCACATATAATTTATAATTATAACACAACACAACATAAATAAAGGGTAAATTAGTGAAAATCGAAACACTACATATGATATCATCACCATCGTCTCAATCAACAATTTTTGTCAAGAATTCAATGTCTATTACACAATCTTCTTACCTCAAGTTTCATTGCTCACTCACATAATAAACGTCTAGTTCCACTTCTATAAGACTTGTGTATTGAATAGACTTAAAGGTCCTTCACCTTTTATGACTCACCTATGCCTCTTAAAAATTATAACTATATATATATATATATATATATATATATATATATAAGGACTACACTAGGGCTAATTTTTCATACCTGTGAGATACTATCCGCACATCAAATACAAAAACCTCTTTCAATTGACAACTAAATATCTTGTTCTCTTAAACTCAATACTATAATAGTTAATATAGTCTCACGACATAATCACTTTATATTACATCACCTAACATTATTTGAGAATCTTGTCCAATAAAATTGCATAATTTTATAATCTTATATATGTATTAAATTGGCCAATTAAATCTATTTGAAGCCATTTTACTTGTAACAAAATATATATAATTTAATTCAAAATCTTCTTATATATTATAAAGACCAGTTTGACATATTATTATCTACAAAGAGTCTTTTTATAGATTTTATAATCATGATTTTCAATGCATCTAATATTCATTAATATTTATTAATTAATAATTCATAATATTTTTTTATTTGATATTTACTATTTTATTATTATGTACTATTTTACAATTCAAAATACGTAGGAATTTTAGCCCAGTATAAAGAATTGTTATAACCATTATTTCAATTTGAGCCCAACAAAGTTCCAAAAACGAGTTAATAAAATAATAAAATTCTTTAAAGCTGCAATGGATTTAATATTTACTATTAATTATTAATTAAAATTTATTAATTGATAATATTTACTTATTTAAGATTTATGATTTAGTATTCAAAACATTCAACAATTTGAGCGCATTATAAAAAAATCGTGTACCAATTCAGGAATCTCAGACCTTTAAAGTTCCAAAAAAAGTGATAATTTTTCAAAAAGTCCACCATCCATACAAAAGTGTTAACTTTGAACAAAATTTATAGTTGGTAATATCAAATAACCTGTACTTGGTAATATCTTTAGAGTTCATAACATGAAATAATGTGAACAAATAATATACAAGCCATCAATTTAATTACAATACTTTAATTGAATATGTAAAAAGTAAATAGTATAAAAGAGACATTGAAAGTACACGCAACGAAGAATAATTAATTAATATATAAACAGAATCAAGGTAGCTTAAATAGAGAATATAAAAGAGACAATGAGAGTAAACACAATTTAGAAGAGTTAATTTTTCTCCGATAGCTTAAGTACTATACATATAATTTAAGTCTAATACATATGATACCAAAAGATTTATGACATACATGAAACCATGAAATCCAATCCATAAGATAAAAACCAAACATCCATATGAAACAAAAACAAATAAATAGTTAACATAACAGTTACCAAATACAACAATACCTCTACAGTAGTACACAATATACAACATGTAACTGTTCATACCAATACATGTTAAACTACAACATTCATTTTCAATGGAAAATCCTCCTTTGACAACACTAAAGTACTTTTAGAATCTCTTTTAAGTTGAGCCAAGACCACATCGTCGGTCAAGTCAAGCCTAAACTTGGTAAGCAAATCATAGATAAAAAAAAAGTACTACAAATACAATGTTGCAAAGAATATTTCAATAATGTTAAAATACCTCTTTGGCATCATAACGGTGGGGAATTCAAGTAAATTCAAATTTCGAATTATATAGAAATGAGAAAGTAAAATACTATATATAGCTGAAAAACTTATTAATCAATTGTCTTAAGGTTTTGGGTAGAGAGTGATATCAATCTCTTATATGGTTAGGCTCAAATTTCATTGGTGTTTGTATCTCCCCTCCTCCTCGATAGACCCAACAGTGATATTAAAGCCGATGGTTTGTTTTGGTGACCGACTCAAATGAGTATAATTGGTCCTTATATCGAAAGTCTTCCTTGCAAAGGATTCCAGGTGTACCAATGTGGAAGGGACTCACCCTTAAGGGAAGATTTGTTTGGGAATCCAAGTGTGAATCCAAGTCCCACATTGGATATAAATGAGAAAGTAGAGCACCATATAAAGGTGAAAGATCCATTAACCCATTGTCTTAAGGTTTTGGGTAGAGAGTGGTGTCAATCCCTTATTTGGGTGGGCTCATATCTCATTCGTGTTTCTATCTCCCCTAGTGAACCTCCTACTCGATAGACCCAACAGTGGTATTAGAGTCGATTGTTTGTCTTGGTGACCGGCTTAGATGAGTATAAAGATTTCAGGTGTACCAATGTGAAAGGGACTCACCCTTGAGAGGAAGATTTGTTAGGAATCCAAGTGTGAATCCAAGTCACACATTGGATAGAAATGAGAAAGTAGAGCATTATATAAAGGTGAAAGACCCATTAACCCATTACCTTAAGGTTTTGGGTAGAGTGTGATGTCAATCCTTATATGGTTGGGCTCATATCTCATTGGTGTTTGTATCTCCCCAATGAACCTCCTCCTCGATAGACCCAACAGTCGTATTATAACCGATGGTTTGTCTTGGTGATCGACTCAGATGAGTATAATTGGTCCCTATATCGAAAGTCTTCCTAGCGAAGGATTCCATGTGTACCAATGTGGAAGGGACTCACCCTTGAGGGTGAGATTTGTTGGGAATCCAAGTGTGAATCCAAGTCCCACATTAGATAGAAATGAGAAAGTAGAGCACTATATAAAGGTGAAAGACCCATTAACCTATTGCCTTAAGGTTTTGGGTAGAGAGTGGTGTCAATCCCTCATATGGTTGAACTCAAATCTCATTGGTGTTTGTATCTCCCTAGTGAACCTCCTCCTCGATAGACCCAACAATAACAACTATTAGTGCTTTCATGCTTTAGTTTACACTCTTCTCCATTTTCAAAGTATACATCCTTGAATATTAGTAAGACATTGCTTTAGTTTACTCTCATTCGAAACCTAATGTACAAATAACATATTGCTTAGAAACTTTTAGTAATATATACTAACTTAAATATAATAATGAAAAGTCATGTTTCCCGTGAGCTTCAATGAGATGAAATCTTAATCTTCTTACCACTTTTCAAACTCTCTTTCAGTTTCAACTCGAGTAAATATTCAAGTAATACTTGCATAAAACATAGATGTTAAAGTAAATTATGTGATAGGTACAAATCAATATGTTACAGTATAATAGTTAAACTTACCAACTAAATAATCAGTATCAAACCCAAGAGAACTAATTAATGATAGAAAAAGGAGTGGATATGAAGTTTGTTTTGGTAACTAACTTAGAATCAAGTAAGTAAACTTTGGTTCCAAACTTAAAATTTATTTTGTAGGTTTAAACCCTCGAGTGGTTCTCATATTTGTTGAGGAATCTCAAGTGGGTCCTCTTGTTAAAAATAGACTCAATTTGGGTCCTAAATTTTAAAAAATCGTAACAATTAAGCTCTTTTCGTTAAGTGTTGATAGACGCATCGATAGATGCTAACGTGTTGCATAGTAAATATGTTGATCTTAATTGTTTTATTACATAGAATTATTATTTAAATTAAGATGATGTATCATTTTTTTACATGACAAAATGTAATTGGTCATTGTAGTTAAAATAATAGATTAGGGATTGTGCACTTCATATTAGGGTTTGTGAACTTTGTAGGGTTTAGAGAGAGAGGGATTTCCTCCGTCGACGTTGGTGACCATCGCGACGTCGCCGACCTCCATGTCGCTTGAACCCGTTTCCCATCCTTCATTGACATTTTTCCTCCCATCCATGACAACCCAATCTTCCTCCATCATCTCCATTCATGCGCCATCGCGAGGGAAAATCGACACCATGGCTAGCGTTCAAGCTCTTCGCACCTCAACGAAACCCATCATCATCTCAACTCTTCTCCATCAAATCATTCTAAACCTGCAAAGAGAAAACAGAAACGCAGAGACCCCAAAATCAAAATACAGAAAACCCCAAATTCGTGAACCCTAATTGCAAGGAAGAACCCTCATACCGTGCACTGCCTCCATCTTTGCACCTCTAGCTCTAAGAAGCAAAAAAACCATAAACACGATCCACTTTGCCTGGTCGTGACACCAAGTGAAACAAATTTGCGCTGCCTTGAGCTGTTGGAAACGTCATCAGTGCTTAGGCGACGCCTTTTTCCTCCTCTCTCTTCGATTTAGG